CGGTAGACAGAGAGCTTTGCCTTCTGGCTCAGCTCCCTTTTCGTCACAACGGTGCGGTAAAGCGACTGCAGTACCGCTGCTCCGATTCTCCGACCCATCTCACGCTCCATTGTTCCCTCACTCGAGAACAAGACCCTGAGATACTTGAACTCCTTCACTTGGGGTAAGGACTCATTCCCTACTTGGAGTGGACAGTCCATCGGTTTCCTGCTGAGAACCATGGCCTCAGATTTGGAGGTGCTGATCCTCATCCCAGCCGCTTCACACTCGGTTGCGAACCGATCCAGTGAGTGCGGAAGGTCGCAGACCGATGAAGCCATCAGAACCACATCATCTGCAAAAAGCAGTGGTGCAATCCTTAGTCCACCGAACTGCAGAACCCCTCCCCCACGACTACGCCTCGAAATCCGATCCATGTATATTACAAACAGGATTGGTGACAAAGCGCAGCCCTGGCGGCCAACGAGGCCAACCCTCACCTGAAATGGGTCCGACTTACTGCCGAGGACCCGGACACAGCTCTCGCTTTGGGAGTACAGAGATTGGATGGCCCTGAGTAGAGACCCCCTCACCCCGTACTCCCACAGCACCTCCCACAGTGACTCCCTGGGAACCCGGTCATACGCCTTCTCCAAGTCTACAAAACACATGTAGACTGGATGAGCGTACTCCCAGGCCCCCTCCAGGATCCTTGCGAGAGTAAAAAGCTGATCCGTAGTTCCACGACCAGGACGGAATCCGCATTGTTCCTCCTCAATCTGAGGTTCGACAATCGGCCTGACCCTCCTTTCGAGTACCTTAGAGTAAACTTTCCCGGGGAGGCTGAGTAGTGTGATCTCTGTAATTGGCACACACCCTCTGATCCCCCTTTTTAAAAAGGGGAACCACCACCCCGGTCTGCCACTCCTTTGGTACTGTACTGAGTACAACTCTAACACAGAAAAGACCTGTCTATGCTGCCCCAGAACGCCTCGTTGGAGATTTCTCTTTTTCCATTGTTTTCTTCTTGGGTATAGTGACGTGTTTCGGGTATAGTGACGTAAAGTGTCAGCGAACTCCCAGCCAAGCTGCGGGTGTGTGCCCAGGCTGAGTTCCGCGGTGTCTCGCTGTCGGACACTGGGCTCACAGGGAGAGGGGGGGGGGGCAGAGAGTGAATACACATACTATACAGAGATGCTGTATGAGAAACCAATGTGAGTTTGGAAAATTGCACGATGTAAATGTATTTTAGTATACCTCAACAATGGAATTATGATCAGTAGAAATGGCCATGACATGGGACCTTTAAGATAAATATGATATAAAACAAAGAGAAGCAGGAAATGTTTATATTTGAGGCTGAAAAGGCGTTTCCTACTCTATTTGCATTCAAAATGTGTTTATTTTTTCTGTAGATTGACTAATAGTTGCAGCTCTACATCAAATAGCTTTTACCAATGTGCTCTTCCTATTGCATTTGACCAAATTACACACATTTAAAACATGCCTCATTAGTGAGTGTGTGCTACCTGTCAATTTGGGTACGACGGTCTTTTCTATGACATTAGACAGTGTCTGTCTGTCTGTGTTCTCCAGCTCCTCGTGGCCATGACCATGACAAAATGTCTCCACTGCTGCGAACCACGGGAAGTTTTCAAAGTCCCCACTGTCACTCTGTTACAAAACAAATATAAAAAGGTCAAAAGTTGTGCTATGACATCTGTGAGCATGTAAGAGCTAGTGTCTGTGTTTGTGTCCACAAGTACCTTTAATGGGTTCCATGGCAGTAGCTGATGTCTAATGATGGGGTTCAACAACTTGGGCAGACACAGAGAGATGTAGGCATTGTGGTAAGAGTCAGAGTAAGACCCTCTCCACTCCTCAAATCGGGACAAAATCTTCTTCACGCTGCAAAAGTCATCCTGGACGTCAGAAAACACCGCCTGGGACCTCAAGAGGATATCAGCTGGAGAGAGAGCAGAGCGAAGTGCAGCATGAGCAACGCTTAATCCGATCACAGTGTAGTGTTAAAGAAAACATCTGGCCTGTAGGTGAAAGCCATTAGTCTATTAGATTTGATTCCTTCTCACCTATCTTCTTCTGCAGCTGCTCCTCCTCTTCTGCTGAGGGCTGGGTGTCTTCAGGTAGATCAAAGTCTTCTTCAGCTTTAACACCAGAGTCTGCACCGCTAACATATGTAAAGTAGAGTATAGTACCCATTTCAATCTTGTTTATGTAAAGAAGATATCAAATATATGAAAAAAGTTATAAACCAAAGAAATAACAGAAATATTTGTACACTCACCTTTGAGTTTCTGTTCCATTAGTTGGACTTCCACCCTGCTCATTGGTGCCATCTAAAAAAGTGGGATAGATCAATCGGGTTCATGTACATATTCTTTCTGGAGAGTATTTTGCTCCACATTGTACATCGACACAATGCAAATAGAGACAGGTGGGCACACAGATGTAACTTACAGCTGATCTGCTGCAGGCGGTCTGCCTGCTCGCTGGTCCTCTGTCGTCTCTGAGCCAACAGCGCCTCCATGTGGTCGGACAGCAGGGAGTGCAGATCCAGCTCCACAGAGTTGATCTCCACAACCTGCCAACAATCAGAAAATCATCAACCAGTCAGAACATTCTGCAGCTTCCTGTTGTTTTAAGGAGGAGAGCTCAAACTGTTCCATACAAGCTGTTAGTGTTACACCAAAGTGCCTGATTATGACACAGAGCTTTGAATAGAAAGAGAGATCAAACAATAATTCATTGACATTAGCTTTTGTGTAACAGTTAAAAGACATTAACAGAACAGATTCACTCCTTTTCTTACCTTCTCCCGTAGACACTCCACCACGTTGTGGACATAGAGGTTCGTGTCCCTGTAAAACCTGAGTTGTCTCTCAGAGGAACTTTCCTCCAGAGTCTCGGCGGATGCCCGAGCGTTCTCCACATCGCCCTCCATCCTCCTCAGCTCCGCCTGCCGGGCGCTGTGCACCTCCTTCAGGGATTCAAGTCTAAAGAGAGAAACAATTGTAACTGTAATTATAGAAATTGAATACATTTATAATGTATTAACGTTTTTCTTTTTTTCTTTTTAAATAACAATATTAGGTTATATCAGATCAGTATTTGATTCATAAATGCTATCCCTGTTGACATTACAGAATGTAAAGGAGGAAACGTACTTTCCAGTGATCCTCTTCTTGACCATTGAGACACTGAAGGCAGGAAAAGTTGGTATTTTGAGCCCTTTTAATTTTTTCCTTTGTCTGTTCCGCTTGTTGCTGCTGCTGTAGCTGCTGGATTCACTGCCAGATGGGCTCTGACAGGAAGGAAAGAAAAGGATAAAGGATGTAACAGCTGTAGTACTCAGGAGGATAGTTACACTTATGGAAGCCTTGAGTGTTTAGTAATATAAACTATTATCCCACTTAGATACAAGAAGAGTGAGACACAGAAAAATGTAATACAGTAAAAAGATATCAAATATCTTTACCTGTTCTCCCGGCCGTCTCTTGACTCCCTTCTCGATTTGTGTCTCCTCCCAAAGGTCCTGCTCATCTACATCAGATCCTGAGAGACTGTCATCAGTGTCTCCTAGATTTACACACAAACATACAAAATAGTAAACTTCACAATTAGGTGCAAAACAGACACAGAGATTTTCAGACAGCCAGCCTAGTTTCATGTCTATGACGCTCATACAACAGACTATTTTAGTATAATTCAGTTACTACAACAGAAGATTGAAAAATACAATCGATTCTCCCTGCTTTTCATACCAAGTTTATCTGCAATCCTCTCCCTAATGCTCTTCAGTCTTGGGGCGAACTCAATTCTTCTCTCGTGATCATCCGGCTCATCATCGTCATCATCAACTCTTTCTTCGTCATCTTCCCTGCTGTAGTGATCCGGGGTGCTACCAGCTGAGCTGTGGCCGTCTCTACCCAGGGAAATGAATTCTTTCTGGGCTCGATTGGCGCGGCGCTGCCATCGAGCTGCCTTGATCTCTTTAGCATTAGGGATGACTGCTGTAAAGACAAATAAATGCAGGTATGGACAATGAACATGTATGGAACAAACATCGATCCAACTGTTGATCCACACACACATCCGCAAACCTTATACAGACATTTCTCCAAAAGCATGCAGGCTTATTTTGAAGTGTTTCTGTAGGACCCTGCAGTTTTGTCTAAAACCTTTATCATACACACACCAACATCTATCAGTGGATTCAAAACCCTGACTGTTTTCCTCTCTGACACACACATACAGTATAAACACACACACACAAAAAAACCTCATACCTGGTTTAGTAGCAGAGCGGCTGGAGTCTGAGCTAGCTGAGGGAGACCTGGCATCACATTCATCACTGTCATTGTCGTCATCATCATCGTCATCATCATCCTTATTGCTGTCGTCATCATCAGTGCGGGGCAGATCATGTGGTGAAGCCTGACTGTCTGAGTCTTGCCTGGGAGAAGCAGACGGAGGGACAACTTTACCTGCTGGGGCGGGGAGAGAGGAGAGGGAGATATGCCAAAAAATTTTTTCACAATGTGATGATGTTAGCCAACATGTTTTCATTATTATAATAAGAGAAAACTTCTTACTACATGTATACAGTTTATAAGCACCTTTTTTAAAACAACACACCTCTACACTTAAGAAATGCATAAATAAGTATGTTTCCTCCTACCACTTGTTTTTAATATCCATTATTGTTCTATATTACGGGAGAAGGCATTAGATCTAAAAACCTTGCACCTGACGTATCATTATTGGACGTATACTGTGTTTTAATACAAATCTATGTCTGTAATGGCACATCTATCAGTGTGGCATACCTTTTCTTTGTTTGGTCTTGGCAGGTGATGCTTCCTTCTTCTTCACTTGGAACAGCACAGCTTTATCAGAAGACTTCTTCAGTTTAAATGTTGGTTCCTTAGCTGAGAAAATAATAAAGAAAATAGATACATGAGCAAAAACCTGCTGTTAAGGCTTCAAACGCAGCGGAAATGGGGATAATATAAATAAATGTAAATTATGATAATGTACCTGGGGATACAATCCTAAAGTTACACGTCTAATTAGATGCATTCTGTCAGTACATTTAAATAGTTTTGAGCATGATATTGACATTTTATTTCATATATTATGTTGCTCTCTTTATATATACAGTCTATGGTTGCTCTACGTTGGGTAAACGTCTGACCCGGTCTGACCTGAGTCCATCTTTAAAAAATATTGATTTAAAACTCTATATCCCCACTTATTTACCTTCTTTGTCATCAGAGAAACTGAGAATTGAGTTTGTTGTCTTCACAACCTCATCTCTGTCTTTATTTCTTTCTCCTCCTTCTTCTGTCACTTCCACCGTATCCCCGTCCTCTCCGCTGCTGCTGCCCGGCTTTGGAGGCGTCGCTTCCCGCTTGGAGCTACACGTAATGCCGCGGCCCTGGGACAGTTTCTCCGGCTTATTTACCGCAACTGGAGCCTCCTCAGTTTCCACTCCATGTCCCCGGGTCTTCCGCTCGTCCTCCTCGTCACTAGAGTTGTCTTTTCTCTGTCGAAAGTTTCTCCGAGGCTTTTTATTAAACATGTTTTATTCACTTACATGGAGGTAGTAACTTGGTTGTAGAACCGTGGTACGTCAAGTCAGAAACCGCTTTCACTGTCGTAAAGCGTTAGGGAAAATAGCCGCAATGCACTGTGGGCTATGTCGTTTTTTTTGTTCGTTTAAACTTAAACTGGCCATCCTGAATAAAAACGTAGGCGACGTGAGTTTAATTTGGCGTTATTTTAAACCGGCACTGTAAGTTAAATAATTTCCCATAAGGTGGTTAACTGTAGTTCTGGATACTCTGTATTACCAGTTCTTATTGGGACCATCTGTGCTACTGAGTATAGGAATAATATTCAGGAGACATTAATAATGTATGGCTGTTGCCTCGGAAGATTATCCTGAGTTACATGTCAGCCACAATCAGTTGGTTGAGGAGCAAGACCGTCCTCATTTCATTTATACAGTCTTCAAACTATCTTTTCATCAACATATGATACTGTATATTATACCACTCTGTGTGTCTCCTGACAGAAGCTTATTTCTGCAAGTAGGCTATAAGAAAAAAATAGGATAACAACTTTTAAAAAATCTAATAACATTAAGTACATCCAAATAATAAGCTTCCTCAAAAATAATGAGTTCGTTTTTCAAAATAATAATATAGTTTCTCTAAATAATGAGAAATTATAATGACAGACATTCTGAAAATAAATCTAAATAATTAATATCTCAAAATAATGACAACGTTTTGGAAAATAAAAACTAATATCCCAAAATAATTATAGTATTAAAAAGAAAATAACTGAAAGTCTAAAAAAAACAACAACATTTTTCGAAATATTGACAACAAAAAAAAGTAATCTCAAAATAATGAGTTAATATCTCTAAATATATACATCATGTCTCAAATAATGAATTTTACTTTGACTGAGACCACTAAGTCATTATTTGTTGGAGGATTCTCATTATTTTGTGTAGGACCTTTTTTTATAAAATCGGTGGCGAAAATGGGCCTCCACAGTATGAAGGAGTTTGTACTCCACTAATCGAGATTATTGCCAGGTACGTTTACACATACAAGGAATCTGCTTTGCTGTTTGGTGGTGAAAACATGCGCGTCACTTTGTTAGAAAAAGATGTCTGGACCATTTCTCCAGATTTAACATCAGCATAGCAGAAGACAAAATATATCCCTCTCCTGAGAGCTGAACCTTGAGCACCTGCATGAAGAACCAATGCATAGACCTCTGGACCACCAATGTGTCAGAAGGTTGCTGGATTAAGACCCACCATGGCAAAGTGTAAGAGATATGGAAAGCAAGAAGGAGTTTGTTTGTTTGTAGCCTTTATTTAACCAGGTGAAAGCCCCTTGAGATCAAAAGATCTCTTTTTCAAGGGTGACCTGCAGGACATTAGTTACACATGTAACATAAAAACAACAGAACAACAATAAGGATGACATACAACATAATGTACAGGGTACAGTTTACAAACTCTATTTACAGTGACAGGTACCATGAGTATCAAACAGCATGTCACCCAGCCGAGTTTTAAAATGATGCAGGGGAACCAAAGTGCTCAGTTGTAAACATGTTTGCAGACTGTTCCAAGTTAGTGGAGCTGCACAACTAAAAGCTTTCTTTTGATGGGATAATGTGAAAACTGGGACTAAGAAGGACTCTTGGTAGGTTTGAGATCTTTGATTTGAGGCTCTTCTCCACTATAGCAGTGAGATCACGCACACATTTAACAACATATCAGCAGCACAATATACAAAATAACTTTGTATTTTTGTATATTCACTAGAGTTAAGCAAATGCAATTAAAAAAGAAAATCCTTGATGCAAAAGCTTTGATACCTTACACAGATGTAATGTAGTAAAACCACTGAGGTAAGTGTTAGGAGATTTGTGATGTGATTTTGGTAGAACTTGACTTTATGATAGGGATGTTATTTAATATTGCGTTGCAGTCTGCTTACTTAAAGAAACAAAACAATTGAAATGGAGCAGAGTGCTACAATATTTAGTGGTTTTAAAAGTCACATTATTGGAAAATTAGAAAAAAGAGTATTCGTGAGGTGGATGTAATTATTAAAAATAAAAATGACACAATTTAATATATATATATATTAAATCGTGTCATTTTTATTTTTATATATATCCGACCAATAGGAACAGGTTAAAAAACAAATATATATTTTTTTTTTGACCTGTTCCTATTGCTCGGATCCAGTCAGCTGACAGATCGTCTGACCCCTGCTGTTTTGACAGGAAGACATTTCAAAACGTTCCCTGTTTACTGTCGTTTAAATATCTGTTTTTTACATTTTCTATTTAAAGTGTACTAACATGTCCACATTGCACATCTTGACACTAAACCAGTGTTCTTGCTTATTATATTTCTTTGTGCACGCAATTTTTCAGTTAAACTTTTAAAAAGTGGTATGGACAGCATAAGGAAATAAGTTGAAAGAAAAATATAAAAATAATAAAAATTAAATGTAAAAATTAAATATGTTTAACAACAAAAGATGAAATAAAAAACAAATAGAAAACTTAGAACAATGAATATATGACAAACTGCATATTATATTTCAGAGTGGAAGGCTGTGCAGATTTTAAGATAGGTAGATATAAATATTGAAATGTGTAAAAAATATGGGAATTTTCTTATGCACCTATGCTTAAAAAAAGACAGTACTTGGGTTGTCCTGTGTTGCATTCTCCCTTATCTGTCTCCCACGAGTTGTCCCCCTCTCCATCTGTTAACTCCCTCTCTCTCCTCCCACTCGCCGGACGCTCACACGTTAACAGCGATCCTTCGACGTCAGCCATGTTGTTGCTGTTGCACACTGAGCTGTCAGCAACAGGTTACTTTGAGGAGCAACGCTGCTAAACTTGGACATTTATACCACACATTCTGCTCTCTTCGGATAATAAACCTTTGCAGTGTGTCCGGGAACAAGTCCCCAAGTGGCGGATGATACCTTCAGTGCCCCCGGAAGCTCGGAAGTTGGTGTTTTTCTGGTCGTTGTGAGAGAGGTAAGCAAGCGAAACTGCTTATCTAAGCATGAGTGTAACTTTAATACTGTTCATGTCTCCATAGATTACTTTTAAGTTGCTCACAAGTGTTTGGACTATGTGCATGTTGATGTTCGTTTAGTTTATTTGATTCTGGAATATAAAAGGAAAACTATATTTAAAGGAGGTGATTCTGGCTGGGATGGGAGTTAGGTTAGCTATAGCTAAGTTATGATTTCATGGTATTATTATCGACAGTGGTGTATAGTAACGAAGTAGATTCACCCAGGTAATGTACTTAAGTACAATTTTGAGGTAGGCTACTTGTACTTTACTTGAGTATTTAGATTTTAGACTTTGTACTTCTAACACATTACGATTCAGAAGTAAATCCTGTACTTTTACTTCATATCTTTAGTTACTTTGCAGATTTGGTTTAATGATGTAAAGTATAATCAACATTTAAAAGACTTTGAGTAACATTCACAAGATACCCTGCAGTATATAAAGTAATACAAACTAGCTGCACCTTTTCCAGCTTTGATAAACTCATTAATGCATCAATAATTATAATCAAAACATATCATTTATATCATTCTCAAATGGTCCAATCTACATAGTGAGTAATTTTGATTTTGGTTATTTAAGTATATTTCTATGCTAATACTTTTCTCCTTTTACTTGAATAACACTTTGGTTGCAGGACTCTTACTTGTAACAGAGTATTCCTACACTCTGTTACTTCTACTTTTACTTAAGTACAATATCTTATGACTTTTTCTACCTCTGATTATCTTTACCTACACACTAAGTTCAGTGTTACCTTCGTAAAGGCAGCTTTGCCGGTCAATCCCCTAAATTCCTCTCGGTTCAAACGAGTTGAGCAGGTTGCAGTCTGGTGACAAGTGATCAGGAAATGTTACTCTATCAGTTTATCATTCAGACTCACACAGGGAGGATCAACTCCCTTTGAGAATAAAGACTGTGGAGTAACAGTGCCCAAGCTTTTATATTTCTTTCTTTTGGCCTTTTTTTGGGTTGTCACATTGTGGGTGTCCTTATCTGAGAATTGTCTAAAATTATATAATCAGATCCACCATAAATAACCATAATTTCCAACTAGGGTTGCTACTAAAGATTTGTCTTCACCATAGGTTTATGAGTACTTCATTGATGAGTATAAATTACTTGATTTAGAAGACATTTGTCTTTGTTTAAAATCCTTCCTAATTTTCAATCTACAGCGGACTGATGCTTAAAAAGCTATCCTGCAAAAATGATTGCATGATTGCATTGATATTATAATTAATGTTATTTTGACAATTTCAATGCAACTTTCATTACCTAGCAATCATTACCTCACACTGATAAACTAACTGAAAAATTGCACGTCTACAATTTAGCTTACTGCCATGGAGGCTTTTCCATATTCTCGGGACCTTTTATATTAGAGGTCCAGTGTGGATGTTTCAGTTCCTAATGGGAAGTACATGTTAAAGAGTCTGCTACAGGATGGAGAGTATCAGCTGTTCCGTGTAGAGAAGATGATGCTAAAATACTGAAGTGAACGTTTATGTTTGCATGCACCTTCGGTTGTTAAAGGAGAGTGTTGTTGTCTATTATTGCTTAGACACACACATACAGTTTAATACAGAGATTGAATGCTTGCCAAGCATTCAATCTTGTTATTGCTGTCACTACCTGTAATGTAAAATACTTTCTGTTCTTGGTAGCTTCCTTTAATTCTTCGTACTTTAATGCTCAACATGGGCTTTAATTGTTGCTGTTCACCTTACTGATATTATTTTATAATTGCTTGTCAGAGAAGTGAAAAGGAACTGATCAACCTGGTTTTGATCTCAATGTTACCAAACTGTCTGTAGACTGAATATTCTTCAAAGCAAGACAATGAATGCCTTCCAAATGAGCTTTACCTTAGACCTTTCTTCAGAGTGAAAGGTCAGGATGGCGATGTTAATCATTATTACAGTATCAACATTATCAGTATGGCAATCACTGGGTGCATTGCCAATTTATTGTCAAGTGTGACTATTTGCACTATAATAATGGTGTGGAGATGTAAAGTGTTACTAGTCGGATAACCCCTACTCCTTCGTTATTAACACACATGAGAGGAAACCCATGCGAATATACTGTACACACAATACTGCCAGAAATACACTGTTTTAGTTATATATCAGTTTTATAAAATATCAATGTTTCTCCACTCCTGTCATAACCTGACATATGAACAAATCAGGGCGGGCCAAAGCAGACTAAAGGAGGGAGAGGCCAGCCTTGCCTCTTAAGAAAACAAAACACAGCATTGCAAACAGTGTTAATGAAAACCAGTCTGAAACACTCCTAAAGATCTTTGCAGCAGTTGCTGAGAGAGGGAACCAGGCAGAAAGACAGGAAACAATAATAATGAGATGAATAGCCAAAGAAACATTGGGTCATTTTATTTTACATAGATCCACAAACACACGCCCACACGCACACACGCACGCACACACACACACACACACACACGCACACGCACGCACACGCACACAGAGAGGGAGATAGAGTCATCGGGATGGAGTTGATGTCATTGGTGTGAGGTCAGTGAGCCAGGCGGCTGAAAATCTATCATTTCGCAGAACAGACAGTGCTTGTTTCAGAACAGAGAAGTGATTAGGACAGGTCAGGGTCACACAACTGGTATGGTATAGATTTAGCGATAGAGAGATTGACATATATTTACAATGACACATGAAAAGACAGAGGGAGAAAGAGGAAAACATGACTATCTAAAAGACAGCCAAGGAATGAGGAAGGAAGTAATGAAGAGAGGAGAAAAGGTTCATTGTAAATCATCCTTTTTCTCTCAGGTTCTTCATTGTGTTCGGTATTTTCTTCTGTCAAGGTAAATAGTCTATATGGCAGCAAGGTGAAGTATAACAAGTGCATACTAAACAGAGCATATGACAAGCACAGACATACAAAGAGGAAAATACATGCAGGGTTCAAAGCTACTGACAGTACCAAGGTCAGGGACAACCAAGCTATTTATCCAACAGTTTTCAGTGTTGTATATACTAACGGAGAGACGGAAATGTCCCAGTCTTTCTGGAGAAACCAAAGCAGAACTAAAGGTGAGGTCTGACCGCCATAAGCGAGCCATAAATGAAAAGAAACACCCCCCTCTGAGGAATTGTGGTGTTTATTTAAACACCATACACAAGCCAGACATTAATTCATTATTATATGTTTCACGTTGGACTCTAAGATATACTTCAATGCACTTGTTGTTTTCTTATTCAAATGAAAATGTGTAGGCCGAAAGAAGTTAGTACATTTGGATTGGTTTAACAAACGGCCGTGCATTAGTGTTCAAGGCTTAGAGCAGGAGTAACGTTTAGTGAATCCAGACTTTTTCAACTGCTTCGCCTCATTAATTTATGTTATTATGATCTTTCTGACTGGAAACTTTTTTGTACTGTTGCTTTTTTGTAAATGAAACAATCTTTTGTGGACTTTGAAGAGGAGGCAGCAGAAGGTATGTAGGACGAGCACAAACGCTACGAGCAACCGGCAGTGCAGGGCGGACGGGTGAGATGAGTTTATGCAAATTGGTCTGAAAATAGTCCTAGGAATACTAAAGTATCCCTAGCTGTAATTACTCCTGTCACGGATGCCTGTTGTGTGTACAGGTAATAATGCTGCAGTGGTCTGCACTGAATTTAATGCAATCCTCATAGAAAGTTACCAGACACTGGCAACACGGTGTGTATTACATATCACTCTCTTTTTGAGTACTATAAGCCACCTGTACTATAGAAAATTGAGTTTCGCGACCTTTCAACCTGCAGGGAGGATTTTCTTTCTAAAGAATGAGGTCACGCTATACCGATCATCACCTGACTGTCGCCCTTCCCCCTCCCCATGTCTGTGGATGAGTTATTCCGTAAACTACAGGTTGAGATTCAATCTGAGTCATATGTCTATTTACATATCCAACCATGACAACAGTAATGGGACTACTGTGTGTCCACTGGACACTAATATGTGTTTACACAAGTCCAGCATCAGACCAGTAGTAAAACATAGTGCCATCTTAATCTTATTCTGACAAAGATCTTATAACTGCAATATTGGTGAATGTACCTTTTAGCAAGTTTGGAAGACTTCACCAGCTTTAAGTAGTAATGCTGTGATCCTTGAGGGTGTATTGTTTTTTTTTATTATCAGTGTTTTAACAACACGTTTTAAAATCAGATTTGTTGATCAACCAGGACATTCATTAAAACACTAAAATATTGTTTTATCTAACTTGTTATCAGGGTAAATGCTGAATAATAATACATTTGGCTTGTCTCTTACCAAAACATTTCCATAAAGGGGCGTTAAGTAAATGTTCCCAAGCTACACTAACATTTCCAATTATTCCAAAAGCATCTTCACACAATGGTGTAGCTAGAGCTTAAATCAAAGTTTTGCTTCTTGTTGACAATATGTCATTATTGATAGGACTTTATGTCCAGAAGGAACTGTTTTTTCTGAGCTCATAAAAACTGCTCAACATGCTTGACATGCAGAATCACCCATAGCAAAAAAACAACAATTTGTGTCTCCTTTTCTATGCTGCTGACATCAAAACGGTGCATCTTTTATAGCAGCATTCCTGTAGCTTTTGTTATTCAGAAAGGATTTGCATGAAGTTTGCAAAGCTGAGTCTACTACTGAAGGCAGTCACTTGTGCCAGCCAAATGTTGGTCAGTCGCTCAGGCAGGCCTAAACTAAGGAAAAGCCAGACTCCTCCCTCACTCTGGAAACAGTAAACCTGAAAGCCCACAGTCCACTGCTATCTTTCATTTATTCATTATAACTCCAACAGTGTTGCATTACCAGAGGTTAAACTCCATGACTAGAGCCTGACCCATAATGAATGGCTGATGCCGTCGACTTATCACTCTCATCTGTTATTGGCATGTTAGTTTGTTGGGTAATATACACAAAGAGTTGTTGAAACATTATCAGAGACTCAAAACAGTGCAACATCTGAGATATTGGGCATTTTTTGTTTCTATGAAGTATGTACAAAATTGGACCGCTCAGGCTTATGCAGATAATTGTTGTTAGCCATTTTCATTGGCCAGAATAATGTGTTAACTGAGTTCATGACTATTGCACAATTCTAGATACTCTGCTAGATGTATTCATACTTAATTACATGTTCACCTGTCTTTTCTTATGCTATGGAAACAATGCAGTTGTGTTGTGTCTGTGTTAGTATTCCTTCAAACATGACTTTCTACTGTGCACATTCTTAAAAAAGAGGTCTCTAAACAGACACTTGTACTCCAATATTTCACAAAGACTGCATACGAAGAACAAGGGCAGAGTGAAGGGGAATAAGACAAAAACGTGAGGTTGAAACACAGCAGTCAGAAGGACTTGACACAGGAGAGAGCGACAGATGGCAGGCAGTAGATTAGCCTCCATGCTGTTCTCTGCCCTTGTGAGAGCATACATCATGTTAACAAAAACAGCACACTTCCACTCCCATTCTTCCTTTATCTCATTCATGTTCTCTTTCATGAGCTCATATCAGCAGACAAGTCACCAATCACTCATTTAGCTTCCTTAAAAATCACTTGTCAGTCTGCAGTTCTTGCCCTGCCTCTTTTCTAACCAAAGCTCTGACTCTGGTTCACATTTTCTTGAACATCAAAGCTGTCTTTGGCCAAAATCCATGATCACTTCCTGTCAACTGACGTCTGACAGGGAAATGCTTGTGTCCGTGGGTTACCGGGCAGGAAGTGTTGAGCAGAAGGATTGGAATTTCTTTCCTCCTTTTCCTCCTCCTCCTCCTCCTCCTCCTACATCATGTGAGTCTGACTGGGTGATGGGGGAGATAAAGTCATGGAGGAAGCAGGTGTTCAGCACGCCAGTAGAGAATGAAAAGCTAAAGAACCTCATGGTGGTCTGATATCGAGTGTCTCTTAAGATACGTACATGAAAACAAAATAGCTTTGAATAAGGTTTTATACAACTTTTCTCCTTCTGAAGGTCATTTTGTGCTAGACAGTGCTCCGAAATGAGAGAAAATAAAACAATAGAACAATAAATGAATACAAAATATAACATAACTAATAATAACACCAGTGACGTAACATAGATTAGATTCAACTTTATTGTCATTGTGCATAGTAGAACGAAATGCACAAATGCTAAATAAAATCATATACGAAGGAAAACGTATCCAAAGTAAGACTGCACATTATACAGATGTTATTATTGTATAAATGTCTTAAAACGTTATGCTGAGAGTTTACATGGGGCCTTATGTTATCAGCTACTTTATCAAAGCAAAGGTCCACACATCCATTGGGAAAACAGTTTTGGATCTAAAAGCAGATTTGTGTTGGTATTTCAACAGGTGGAGCAGCGCTGCAGTCACATATGAGACCTGTACTGTACATATGCTGGCAAACCCAGAATAATACAAGAACAGAAACACGAGCTATTAACCATGTTGAGGCCTACCACAGGCTTCCCTCTGATCATCCCAGGCAATGTTTAAAATCACACTTCCAAAAAATGTGGACAAATTATTACTTGACGACAATACCGTACTCATATCAGACTGTGTCATCTCGTATGGCTTCTGAGAAACCTTTATTTTAGTTACCATTTTCAAATAAATATGGATAAACATGGAATCACCGACACAGTGAGAACTCCGCTTTTGCTTTTGCTTTTTAAATATAGTCAGTTATCACCTAAAACGTACACATTTGAACCTTGCAGAAAAAGTGTGCCCTCCCACTACATTGAATAAACACGTTCATGTGAAGGAGCTGCTTTCCCACACTTTGCATGCGCTTGACTCAACAAGAGTGGGTTTAAAGCATGATGCAACCAACTGTACTTTGAGGAAGGTGTGGTGACAGGAAGGAAGGTTTGAAACGAAACTGCAGAGTTGCTCTGATGGTGAAGTCATTGGGTTTATCTGTCAATCACTTTGATTCAGACTGAAATATATATATATGTAACAACTGCTGGATGTATTGCCAAAGAAATATGGGCCGAGCCGTTTTAGGGGAGATCTCTCAACTATTGGATGGATTGGGGTGATATTTGTTACACACGTTCGTGCCGTCTTCAGGAAAAGTTACAATAGCTTTGTTAATCCTCTGACTTTTTTCAACTAGTGCCATCATAAGATATGAAAAGATTTGTCCCTTTTTTATTGTGATTATGCTTTGTTAAACCTTGTTAAACTATTTACCTATTGTCAGTGGTACTATAAAGTACATACAACAAATGCAGACAAAATCAAATAGCATTAAAATAAGAATACAAGGCTATATCAGTTAAAAAGAAAATCAGGTATATGACCAAATGCCTTCAAAATATTTCCATAAGCTTACATTGTGTAAAGTGGAAATTAGCAAATATTAGCATGCTAACACACTGAAATAAAATAGTAAACATTGTACCTGCTGAGAATCATAGTGTTGTATTTGCAATTACATAGCTGACCATGAACAAACAACAACAACAAATAAGTCTTCAAAATGTTTTTGTTTTTTTGAGGCAACCCATAGTACATGAATATAACTTTGAATTGTCACTCCACACAACCATGTAGCCTTAAAATCTGGGCAGCAGCATGCATTACTGATGTCTGCTGAACACCAGGCTACCACAGGGCGAACATACTGTAGAACTGAATGAGTTGTAAACATCTCTTGATAGCAAGGATAAATGCTTTCTAATGTGTGTTTATGAGTCTAGCTTGTATAGTATTGGTGTTTTTGCCTCCACCACGGCCCATGTGGGTAGTTTTGGAGCAGTGGTGTAAAAGCTTTGGGATGTGGCCAGCTGCTCCTGACTGAGGAAACAGGAGGAGCCCTGTTTGACTCTGCTGACCGACCAGAATCTCTCTCTCTCTCTCTGCCTCTCCTCTCTCGCCCCTCTCAGTGACACCCCTGCCCTGTCCTCGCTGCAGTATTGACTGATGACTGGGCTGTGACTGTGTGTTTTGCAGATGGCTACGAGCGGTAGCTGAGGACGCCGTCAGGATTTCCCCCCCTCTCTGCCTCTGCCACCTGCAAATATGAATGGTAAGAGAGAGTGTGTGTGTGTGTGTGTGTGTGTGTGTGTGTGTGTGTGTGTGTGCGCGGAAACTGTCTGTTTGTTATGATGAAGTGAACTGTACATTTCCTGCCAGCTGACAAACTGTGGCTTCAACACTGATGTGTACTTTGTCTCGTGAAAGTGTTGTTCTGCCCTCCTGCTTGCACAAAGTGGCACAGTACCGTGTGTTTTTATAATCACTCATTATCACTTTGTCAATATCAGTTCACTCCCAACGGCCAGGCCTTGAGCTTCAGCTCCTCTGTTTGTGCACCTGCCTGTTTTTGGTTCTTCTTTGCAAGTTTTACTATGCTGACTTGCCAATTTCTATTTTGTTTCCAAGAACTTTAATTAACAGAATACAAAGACAATTGTGTAACAACCGGAAAATATATTACCATTTATTTATTTTTTAAATGAAATAAAACATTGACAAATAACTTGCACTGTCTCCAAAACTGCAGCAAGTGACAAGTCTGCAGGTTTTACAAATCTGCTTGTGTCTTCATCACTCCAACTAAAGAACTTCCACACCAACGACATGGTTTGCGTTTGGCTCTGACGTAAACTGCCATGCATTTACATTTGACCAGCAACATTTTTTTTTATAGTAGAATAATGGATCATTGACAAACACCTAAAAACCAGACAGTTTTGACCAGTGCATCTCTGACGAGGGTTAAATGTCCCATGTTTTCTTCTTCATGCTTTAAATGTGTTGTTTTTCTCTCTAGGTGGTCCAAGTGTATGGGCGATCTCTCCTGAGGAGAGGCTCAAACATGATCAGAAGTTTGACACCCTCTCCCCATCAATGGGCTTTGTCTCAGGTACACACACTAACACACACATTATTTCCCAGACTGGTGCTGCGTCACACTTACAGAGATTTCCATGACAGGACATTTCATGATGCTGTTTTACCCAAACTACACCATTATAAGGCACATACATTTTCATATATTACAATAATACACAGTTATGTGTTTATATACTGTAGGTTGCTACATACAATGAAATGGTGTTGACTTGCTCAGGTGATCAGGCAAAGACATGCATGTGCAGGTACAGAAAAACGATGTGTGTTGGAAATTCTAAATGTTCTTTTGATTCTCTGTTTCTTCCCTTTCTGTCTCTTCCTATAGGGGAGCAAGCCCGGAAGTTTTTACTCCAATCAGGGCTGCCTGCTGCAGTTCTGGCTCAAATATGGTTAGAAACACGCACGCACGCACACACACACACACAGAGCCACGGGTTCTCTGGAAGTTTTCACTTGAAGCAGAACATTAACACTGTGATGACTCTTTGTTTTTCCTGTCTCTCAGGGCTCTGGCTGACATGAATAAAGATGGGAAGATGGACAGGTTGGAGTTTTCCATCGCCATGAAGCTCATAAAGCTTAGACTCCAGGGCACACAGCTCCCCTCAGCTCTGCCAATCATCATGAAGCAGCCTCCAGTGCCCGCCCCCACCCTCAACCAGCGCACCTCAGTCCTGTCCAACTCAGCCTATGGTACAGTGTTTTTATCATATACTGTGACGTTAGTTAGCAAAGGAAATTAAGATGCATTTTCTTCAAAATCCACACCCTTAAACTCAGAAAGAAACGGGTAGCTTAGGGATGCAACTAACGTATTTTCATTATCGATTAACACCCGATGAAAAAGATCATCATTAGATATTTCCTCATTGACATACTTAAACATTTAAACACAACCAGTTTCATTCCTATATTTATTCTGAAGGTTTTTAGAGAGAGGTGTGTATGATCAGATTTTCGTGTGTTTGAAATGTGTGAAAATTAGCACATTTTAAATTAGATAAACACTCATCTGCATATATAACACCTTTTGCCACTTTTGAACATTTCTTTGAACAATAGATATTAATATCAAAATTGTTGGCAAATATTGTCGATTGAGTACTTGACTAGTTGACAAACCATTGCAGCTCTCGATTAGAATAAAAAATGTAATTTATGCAAAACAAAATAAACTAATTTGCAGATTTTGATATTTGTTAACTTTAAGTGTCTGAATGATCTCTGTATGCATTATGTCTGCTCTGGTTCTGACTGGTTTACTTTTGTGTGTTATAGGAATGGCTTCTGGGTCCAACATGATGTCCGGGACAAACCTTGCCATGTTGAACCCTATCTCCATGGCATCTCCTGGACTCTCACACTTGACACCAATGACAGGCCTCGCCCCGTTGGTTCCTACGGCAACAGGCCTGAGCCCTTTAATAGCCCCCTCCTCCTCCAGGCCCCTGATTCCCACCATGGGAAACGGCACCATGGGATTCCTGCAACCAATCCCATCTGGAGCCATGGCTGCTGGTATACATTTAATTCTAGCTTTCATTCATCCGCTCCCCTTTTTTCCTATGCTGTAGTATTGTTGTCACTGGGTTATCAGTTCAACCCAAAATACCCTTTTCCCTGTTGTGTTTTTTTTATCAATCTGGATTGTTTTGAAATGGCACTGGACTTGTAGAGCTCAAAGGGCTAATACAAGTGCATATGAAAATGCGACAACATCTCTTAACAGAAATGTAAAACCACTTAAGACAATCTGCAGACCTTGTCGGCAGTTTCATCCACAAACTATTTTCTTTTTATTGAAATACACCCACAAATGAGTGAGCACGAGATTCTAATCCATAAGTACATGCACCCTTACTTCTGTGCGTTTATAGGGTTGGAATACTTTTAGATTTACTGTCTCTCTAAATTGAAAACATTAATCTTTATTATCACTTTCAAGTTGCTGATTTCCTTGCAATGCACTGCAGATGATGAGATATTTCTGAGGGGGGAAGTAGGTAAAGGGTTGAGTCCTGGCTTGGTTTTGCCTAGTCAGTTCTCTCAGTCTCATCTCCATACAAATGGCCTCTCTGTCCTTGGCAAGCTTTGCTAGACAGTATATAACTGACCCACTGTACGACTCCCCTCCCCTTCCTTCCTTTCTAAAACTGTAGAAATAAATGATTTTATGGTTGTGGTTAATGGCTGTAGTAAAATGTCATAATAATGATTTGGATACTTATGTAATGGATGTTTGCTTTCTATTATTAGGCTTACCTCGCTCTGCGTCCCCCTACTCATCTCCGCTAGGACTCTCTTCTGTTTTAAACACGGGCTCACCGCTGCTGGACCTAAGATCTAGCAGGTAACAAACACACCACTAAGCAATTTAACTTTTGCTCAATCATCATCTTGTCAGTCTCTTTGAAGTGTAAAATCACACTGGTTCTTCTGTAGTTCGGACCACTCAGCTTGTGTTTTTGTGTTGCCTCTGTTTGTCTTC